ATTACCACTGGAATTATCACTGCTGGTTTGTGCCATTATTATTATTATTATTATTATTATTATTATTATTATTATTATTATTATTACTATTAGTGTGTGTGTGGGGGGTACACAGATGATGACTTTTTGTGGGCGTGACACCCTAAAACCCCTCAGGGTGCGTGTTCTGTTAATATACAGCCTGTTGTGCCTTAAAACGACTTCTACCATACTGCCGTAAAATGGCTTCTACTGTACAGTGCAGTGGAGTTGTCATGGTAGCGGCTTCACAGTACTCCACAAGGGGGCTCCTTCTGGTAAGGGGGAAAATCCAACAGTAGAAATTACATTTGGTCCGGACATTTCCCCCCCTATAAATAAATACCAGGCAGTGCCGGGTTATTGGCTAGGGTTTTTTGTTTTTTTTTAAATAAAAACCAAGAATGGCATGCTTTATAAAACTGATATGTTTGGCTTTAGTTTAAAAAAGAAAAAAAAGAAACCATCTGTGCCGTGGAACCGAATTATTTCTGCATTCCTTCTAAAACTCCTATTTTTTTCCAGGAGAAATAAATCACCTTCCGATACAAACACCACCATCATTGCGTACGGCCCCTCCTTGCAACAGTCCTGAGGGTTCAGGAAGAGGCCTGAACTTTTTCGTGGCTTTCCTTGACTTTTTAAAATTAGGAGGGAGCAAGTGGGGAGGGGGAAATGGCCACTGCTGACCCCCCCCTTCGGAGGGGTCCCGTAGAGTTCAGTTAAGGTGGCGAGCAATATTGTTCCGGAGAACTGCGTTCTCCTGCCCCGCTTTCTTCCTCTTTTCTCTGCTTCCCAAGAAAGATTTCAATAGCTCTCGTCAATTTGGCTCTGCTTGAAGCTGGGGCCATAAATAAGCATGAATGGTGGGCTTGTTAAGAGAACAGCCAGTCGGGGCTGTTAGGAGCCTCCATCCTGCAGGCGAAGGGCGCCAATTAGGAGATGCCAACTAAGCCCCATTGTCCCGGCCCGAGACACAGAAGCTGGGCTGTTAAACGGCTGCTAGTTGTTCCATCCAGAGGCCTGGTTGCCTTACAAAAATCATTAAAAAAAGCAGGCTTGCTGAGAGGTGCAGACGCCATCATGGATTCTGCGGAGGCCAACCGTGAGTTTTCACTCCCAGTCCATGGAAGAGAGGAAGGGCCGGCCAGGAACACAGTGTGAAAGATTTATATCACGTCTGTTTGTCCAAAGAACAAGCCCTGTGAGGATCTTTCCTTGCTCAGAAGAAACATCTAGGGGTGGGGGTGGGGGTGGGGTGTCCCTGGAGGGTTTCCAATTATTTTTTTTAACTTCGGGTTCACTGTCTCTCTCAGAATGCTTCTTGCACATGCGCAGAAGCATTCGGGCGGATGGGCGGAGCCTCCTGCCACCGCTACGACCTGTTCGGCCGATCCGGGAGCAACCCACCGTGTGTGTGTGTGTGTGTGTGTGTGTGTTGAAAATTACAGGTAGTCCTCGATTTATGACTGTAACAAAAACTGCTCATCAGGGTCATAAGAACAACTAGACACAAGGGCAGTTTTCCCCCCGAATGTCATCACTCTGCTTAACAACTAATTCCCAGAACATTGTCATATTACGTACTAAGACTGTATTACTATTATTCTTCTCATTCTTCCTATTACCTATCTCCTCCCGCTTATAACTATAAGCATGTTGCTTGTATCTCTACAATTTATATTTGTTTTCTAGTATGATTTGATTGCTTATTACTAACCTATGACTATCACTAAGGATTGTATCTTATGATTCTTCATGAATGTATCTTGTCTATTTATGTACACTGAGAGCATCTGCACCAAAGACAAATTCCTTGTGTGTCCAATCACACTTGGCCAATAAAGAATAAAGAATTCTATTCTATTCTATATTCTATTCTACTATTCTGTTTTCTATTTATAGTCTATATGCTATTNTATTTTACTCTTTACTCTATTTTACTCTTTACTCTATTTTACTCTTTATTTTACTCTTTATTTCTTATTTACTTTGCTTTTTTTACTTTATTCTTTCCTCTATTCTTTACTTTTACTTTATACTTTGCTTTTTATTTTACTCTTTACTCTATTTTACTCTATATTTTACTCTTTACTCTTTTTTATTCTTTATTTTACTCTATTTCTTACTTTGCTTTTTTTTACTTTATTCTTTCCTCTATTCTTTACTTTTACTTTATACTTTACTCTTTATTTTACTCTTTATTTTACTCTTTATTTCTTACTTTCCTTTCCTTTTTTACTTTACTTTTACTTTATACTTTCTTTTTTACTTTACTGTTTATATTACTCTTTATTTTACTTTTTACTCTTTACATTATTCTTTCCTTCACTGTTTATGTTATTCTTTACTTTACCCTTTGCTGAGTTTTTACTTTTTACTTTTAATTTATACTTTACAATTTACTTTACTCTAGTTTATTCCTTAGTGTACATTTTGTTCTGCCGTGATCTGATTTCCATCCGTATCCTATTTTTTCCCCTCTTCTTGGCGCTTGACACGCCCATCGCTCTCTGGATCTTCTCTCTAGAATTGTAACCCTTTGGGGATCAAAATGAATGTTGGTTTTAGGGCCGGTTTCTCTTTAAAAAAACCACAAAAACACCCCAAAGCTCAAGAAGCCGGCTGGGGAATACTAAGAGTTGAAGTCCACAAATCTTAAAGTAGCTGAGGTTGAAAAACATGGGTATAAACCAATACCGCTAGGCTGCTCCTGACAAGCAAAGTCACCGTGGAAAGCCAGATCCGCTTAACAACCACCTGATTCATTTAATGACTCACTTAACTACCATGACAAAAAAGGGTTGTGAAATGGGATAATAATAACTGCTTTGCTTGGCATTGGAAACGTTCAGCTCAGTTGTGGACATAAGACTCACCTGTCAACACTTCCTGGAGGAAGATTTAGATGTTTCCAAGTGGCCCATATGTAACATATACCGTATTTTTCAGACTATAAGACGCACCAAGATTTTGAAGAGGTAAATAAAATAAGAAAAGTTTTTGCACTCTGCAGGCCTCCCAAACCCTCTGCACATCTCGTTTTTCGTGAAAAATGGGGCATGCAGAGTTTGGCTTCCCTCCAAAGGAATGCCCCAGTGTGTTTCTAATTGGACATCAAAGAGAATCTGAGGTTGGGGCACAAGGGAGCCAGAAGGCCACCTTCGCCTTGCAAAGTGCTACCACCTGCCAGCGCTTAGAAAGGAAATCCGTCCGATTTTATCTTCCCCAGCTGAACAGGCCCTTTTGTTCCCCTTTGGAGAGCATCACTCTAAACTGGGATCTCTCTTCACCAAGAATTTATGCAACCCAGGAAACAAACTAGAATAATTGGGGAGAGTTGAACAATGGCTTTTAAAATACCGTATTTTTCAGAGTATAAGACGCACCGGAGTATAAGACGCACCAAGGTTTTGAAGGGGCAATTTTTAAAAAAAATAGGTAGGTAGTTAGAGGGATAGAGAGGGAGAAGAAAAATACAGTAGGTTGGTAAAGAGAGAGAAAGAGTAGTTAGTTAGGTAGGTAGGTAGGTATATAGGTAGATAGAGGGGGAGAGAGAGAGAGAGTAGATAGATAGAGGGAGAGAGAGAGAGAGAGAGAGAGAAATACAGTAGGTAGGTAGGGAGAGAGAGTAGGTAGGTAGGTAGATGCTTCCAGGTGTATTTATCCATGTGCTGGAGAAGGAAATCGCTGACAATCTGCAGCACCTAAGACTTTGTTTCTGCTGGCACAGCACTTGATCAATCTAATTCTCATCAATCAGTTAAAAAGCTTTCCAAAAGGAATTTTTTTTTTGCACTCTGAAAACCTCCCCAAAATGGTCCGTTTTTCGCAAAAATGAGCCTGTTTTTCCCCCCCAAAAAGGCATGAATAGCCTTGCCGGAGGGGTGGGGGCTTGCAGAGTGCTCCTGCCCCCCCCCCCCCCCCGCAAAAATGAGCAAACACAGCCCTTTTTTCGCAAAAACTGGCCCGTTTGTTATAAACAAAATTCCACGCATGGCCTTATGGAGGCTTATAGAGTGCTATGGGGACTGGTTGGAGGGTTGGGGGAATTGCGTGCGCATGCGCTGGGGTTCTGCACACATGGCGTGGGGGGTTCTGCGCATATGCAGGAAGAGGGCGCATAGAATTATGGGTGTGGGCACGCATGCACATGACACACACACACGCACACCATGCTCCCCCCGCTTTTGGCATGCGATGGCAAAAAGGTTAAGTCATCACTGTCCCATGTTGTGCACCTATGAAACAACTGGATGGCTGAGAATCCCCACAGACAATTAAAGAAGCACCCTTTCCCCCCCCCTCCTCCTCCTCTTTTCGTTTTGCTCAGGTGGGCTGTTACCTGAAGACCCCCCGGTTTCCAATTTGGGTGGTGTGCAGTGAGAGCCACTTCAGCGTCCTCTTCTGCTTGCGGAAGGATTTGCTGGGGGATTGGAGGACGGAGCGGCGGTTCGACCTCTATTATTACGACGGTTTAGCCAATCAGCAAGAGGAGATCCGCCTAACCATCGGTAGGAGATAAAAAAAAAACCTTTCAAGAAAGATGGACCAGGTCCAGGGAGTGTCGAACATGTGACCAATCTAGCCTTTCCTGTGTTCTTGGCAGGTCATAATCCATAATTTTCTTCCTCCTTATCACTTACAGCAGTGGTTCCCAAACTTGGCAACTTTAAGACTTGTGGACTTCAACTCCCAGAATTCTCCAGCCAGCAGGCTACAGGGGGGAACGAGGAGGAGAAGAAACAGGGAGAAAGAGATGAAAGAAGAGGAGGAAGAGGAGAAGGAAGAGAGGGAGAAGGAGGAGAAGAAAAAGGAGAGGGAAGGAGGAAGAGGGGAAGAAAGAGAGGGAGGAGGAGAAGACAGGAGGAAGACAAGAAAGACAGGGAGGAGAAGAAAGGAAGAGAAGGAAGAGGAGAAGAAAGAAGAAGGAGGAGGAGAAACAGGAGGAAGAGGAGAAGAAAGAGGGAGAAGGAGAAGAAAGGAGGAGGAAGACAAGAAGAAAGAAAGGGAGAAGGAGAAGAAAGGGAGGAAGAGAAGGAAGAGAAGAAAAAGAGGGAGAAGGAGGAGGAGAAAGAGGAGGAGCAGGAGAAGAAAGAGAGGGAGAAGGAGGAGAAGAAAAAGTTGGAGAGAGGAGGAGGATTGTGAGATCATTGGTGGTGGTTTTCTTGCAGACAATGATCCAACTAGGGGTAATGGAACAATCTAGAGATTAATATTGGCTAACAAGCAAAAAGTAAACAATACCCCAATAAAGAAACTACCAATTCAGATAAACAAGATAACAGTAAACAAAAGCCTAATCAAGGATCACCAAGAACGAAATGTTCCCACCAACACTGGGAGACAACTCACTGGTATATAAGCATAGAACAAATGCCACCTCCTTCTAGACTGATGATGTTATCTAGTTGGGTCCTGAAATGTCTACAGGAAAGCAAACGAGAGCACCAAGGACTCCACAGTCCTCATCTTCCTACCCTCTGCAAACCTCCCTCCCTTCCAGCATTGATAATGTTACCTAGTTGGGTCGTGAAATGTCTGCAAGAAAACCACTGAACTCACAAAGCACCGAGGACCTCACACTTCTACTGATAGGAAGGCATTTAATTAGCTTCCGGAGTCTTTAGACAGAGAAATGATTTTTGCCTACTTTCTTTCTCTTCCCCTTAGCCAGTTTATTTCTGCACTAACTTTTTAAGTGTAAGCCACCCAGAGTTGTTTAGAGTACTCTCTACGTTTCATTAATCGTAATAATACATCTTCACTCCCTGGGACAGTTATGAAAACAAAACTGCAGGTCACCAGAATTACAGGCCATTCCAGGTGAAATATTTGGGGGGGAGGGCAAAATCCAGTTATGCTGCGATCTACATTTTTATCTAGAACACTCAGCCTTCGAATGAAATGCCAGGGGCATTTTTCTAAAGAAAATGAAGAAAAAGGAGCGAGCCCGGGGGGGGGGGGGGGGATAACAATAACAACACCCCAACAAGTCTAATTTCATTTCATCCTTTTACTTCAGTCAAATCAATGCCCACACACGCCTACCTAAATTTTACCCCATTTTACAATGTTTCCTGTCACAATTGTTAAGTGAATCTCTCTCTTTCTCTCTCTCTCTCTCTTTTCCCTCTGTATCTATCTTTTGTTTCTTTCTGTCTCTCTCTCTCTATCATTTCTCTACCTTCTCATTCTGTCTATCTTCTATTTCTCTGTCTCTCTCCGTCTTTATCCTCTTCTTTCTTTCTTTCTTTCTTTCTTTTTTTCTTTCTTTCTCTCTCTCTCTCTCCCTCTCTCTAATATCTCTCTGTATCTATTCTTCTTTCTGTCTCTGTCTCTCCATCTCTCTGTATCTTTCTCTTCTTTCTGTATCTCTCTGTCTCTGTCTCTCTCTCTCATCTCTGTATCCTTCTGTCTGTCTGTCTATCTATCTATCATCTCTTCTCTGTTTCTTTCTTTCTCTCTCTCTCTAATCTCTCTCTGTATCTATTCTTCTTTCTGTCTCTGTCTCTCCATCTCTCTCTCTGTCTCTCTCTCTCATCTCTGTATCCTTCTGTCTGTCTTTCTGTCTGTCTGTCTGTCTGTCTATCTATCTATCTATCTATCTATCTATCTATCTATCTATCTATCTATCTATCTATCTCTTCTCTGTTTCTTTCTTTCTCTCTCTCTCCATCTCTTTCTCTGTATCTTTCTCTTCTTTCTGTCTCTCTCTGTCTCTCTCTCATCTCTGTATCCGTCTGTCTGCCTGTCTGTCTGTCTATCATCTCTTCTGTTTCTCTCTCTCTCTCTCTCTCCCTCCTGTTTATGTATATGAGTGTCAACAGGTGCAAGTTATCAATATAACTATGCCTCAATTTAGAACTATTCGTATAGCAACTGTTTGAAATTACAATACTGAAAAAAGGACTTATGACTGTTTTTCACACCTACGCCCTTTGCAGCATTCCTGTTATCACATGATCAAACTTTAGATGCTTGGCAACCTTTTCATACCTATGACAATTTTAGTGTAAAAAGGGTCAGTGGTCCCTTTTTACGACCTTCTGACAAGCAAAGTCCGTGAGGGAATCCAGATTCGCTTAACAACCGTGTTATCAACTTAACAACTGCAATGGTTCACTTTAACAGCTGAGGCAAGAAAGGTCGTAAAATGGGGCAAAACTCCCTCAACAAGAGAAATGTTTGGCTCATTTGGCTGTGGTCGTAAGTCGAGGAGTACAGTTGGGACCAAAACTTTATAATTGTGTGGTAATTAAGTGAGCTGTCACGCAGCTTTACCAGCTTCTTTTTAAGCACAGTTGTTAAGCGAGTCGCCAGAGTCGTTAAGCAAGACACTGCATGATCGCAACGGGTGAATTCCCTCCTGACTCCCTCACCAACGTGTGAGAAATCAGCTGGGTTAGGGTCTCAAACGCTACTCTCACAATTCCACCACACAATTTTGCGACCCCTTCATTTAAAGACCAGGGAATTAATTCACTTAGCGACTGCAATGGGTTGCTCAACCACCGTGGCAAAAAAAAGAAAAAAAGAAGTCATAACATGGAGCCCTGTAGTCTCCTTACAGCGGAGGCGGGGGGGGGGCTCATAAACATTTAATAAATAAATAGAAGGAACGGAATCGGACTGGGCCATCGCTTTCTGGAAGTTCTGCCAATTTGCAAGCCACGGCCGCTAACTCAAGAACTTACGGAAATTGCAGGAAAATGGCACGCCATTAAATTTTCAAAAGAAATGCCCATTGTAGTAAATTTCGGGCAGTTTTATTTTTATTTCTTTAACCTCCGCTGTCCATTAGCTCTCAATTCCAAAGAGGCAGGAGCTCTGTTTGAAAGGCCCTTTTATCAAAAACCGCCACATTTACAATGCGGGACGCCATCAAGTCTTTCTTGCCCCGTTTTTCCCCTCTTATTTTCCTCCCTGGCCCTCCTGTTTATTTCTCACCCTCCGCGGTGTAATTGCAGAGCTGCGGAGAGGCCTGATATTTTCCTCTTCCTTGCGCCCCCCGAGCACCCCCCCTCCCCACTTGGTTAGCCTATTGTCATCCGTGACAGCTTAAAAGTTTTGTTTCCCCAGGATACTCACAGACCTAACCATGCCTTATGTCTCCCTCCTCTCCCCACAACTTCCCGGTAGATGTGTGTTTGTGGCATTAACTTGTTTTGAAATAAATGGGGGTGGAATTTGCTGTTTTTTGCTGCTGCAATTGGTTCTCCTCCTTCCTGGGTTTGGGGCAATCTTTGGGCCAGAAGTTGTGTGATTCATTTTTTCCCGGCATCTCCTGTCCCTCAAAAGATAGCAATAACACTTAGACTTATAAACCGCTTCATAGAGCTTTTACAGCCCTCTCTAAGCGGTTTACAGAGTCAGCCTCTTGNCTATTCTATATTCTATTCTATATTCTATTCTATATTCTGTTCTATATTCTATATTTGATTCTATCCTATATTCTATTCTATTCTTATTCTATTCTATTCTAATTCTATTGTAATTCTATTCTATATTCTATTTTATTCTATGCTATATTCTATTCTGTATTCTAGTCCTATTCTATTCTATTCTATTGCAATTATATTCTATTCTATATTCAATTCTATTCTATTGCAATTATATTCTATTCTATATTCTATATTCAATTCTATATTCAATTCTTTTCTATTGTAATTCTATACTATTCTATATCCTATATTCGATTCTATTCTATTGTAATTCTATTCTAGTCTATATCCTATATTTGATTCTATTCTATTGTAATTCTATTCTATATTCTATTCTATGCTATATTCTATTCTATATTCTATTCTATTGTATTGTAATTCTATTCTATTCTATATTCTATTCTATTCTAATTCTATTGTAATTCTGTTCTATATTCTATTCTATGCTATATTCTATTGTAATTCTATCCTATTCTATATTCTATTCTATGTCGTGGTGGTCAGGAAACAGAGACCAGCTCATCTCTATGATGTTTTTTGCAATGGCCGCTAAGTGAATAATGCAGTTGTAAAGCAAATGCCATGGTTGTTAAGCGAACCAGTTATTTACTCGTTTTGCCGAAAACTGGGAATAAATGCTGGGTTTTGGTAAAACTGGCGCGAAATGTGACTGCTGCGGATGTCTCTAAGGGCGGTCCAAGTGCTGAGCGTCTGGGGTTTGGTCATGTGACTGCAGGGGAGATCCCGATTTGTTGTAGCTTCAAATCCATGTCTCTAGACTGCAGGCGGGCGCATTGGAACAGCCGCTAAGCGATCGCTGTAAGTTGAGGACTACTTGTCTACGAGGGCTGATTTAGAGGGCGCATTGTTGCCCTTCTTGGAAGTGACCGTGGGATGACAGAGTGGAGGGGAGTCCCATAGGCAGTCCAAAAATCACTGCCCACAAGAAACAGCCTGTGGTGCACACAACAACTGGGTGATTTTCTTGTGTGTGTTTTTTTTTTAAAATGATATTACAGTATGCAGGTAGTTCTCAACCTACAACAGTTCATTTAGTGACCAAAGTTACAATGGGCACTGAAAAAAAGTGACTTATGACCGTTTTACCACCATCGCAGCATTCCCCATGATCACGTGATCAAAATTCAGAGGCTTGGCAACTGACTCGTATTTACGCCAGTTGCAGTGTCTGGGCGGGGTGTGTGTGTGTGTGTCACGTGGTCCCCTTTTTGTGACCTTCTGATGAG